TGTAATTTAACCAAATATCAATGTCTTATGACGTTGTGTGCCTGCTGGGATGTATCATAATGATCTGCAACAAGAATTAAATCAGCTTTATAGCACGTTTGTAAAGCCTTTACAGTCTGAGACTGTTTAAAAGCCTCAATACTAAACTCCATAATTGCCCCTTTTACAAGCAAAACCACCAAATCAGACAATAAAACAAAATTACTCACCAGCAAGGCAAATCATAATTACAAAAGCCCCCATTTTATTAGATCGGCTAGGGGAAAGAAGCAATAATTAATAAAGAATATTCCAAAAGGCTTCCAGCAAGGCGTCTCAGACCAAAAGGACCAAGGAATCAAATTAAATGATAAAATAACACAATTGTTTTTACAGAAATGTTTAACAATGAAATGAAATTTGTTAAAGGGACCCACAACCTGTTCAAGATTAAGCATACAAGAGGCTGATAATTCAATTAACAGAAGAATAAATTGGTTAAGTGGTATTTTTCTCATTTGAAACTCAGAAGAACTCAAAATAACAACAACGGAAAAACACAGAAATAGTAAATTCAATACACAAAGAAACTCAATATCATAACAGACATCAATACAGGACTATTTTACATTAAAAATTGCAAAATTAGACAAGTTTATTATTTTGCATTTCTGATTATTTTTGTTAGTCGTTTAACATTTCATAAAACAGCTGTCAAATATGAAATGTTTGGCTACTTACACCTTATCTCGCTCTTTAACCTATTGTACAAGAAAGAGTCCTGTTTTTCCTAACATCTGCACGATTGCAAATGTCCACTAAACAGTAAGTTACTGAATAGGCTTTCAGAAACAAAATTCTGTTTTTTCTCCGCCAAAGAAAATAGAACAAACAGCAGAACCGCTACTGGTACAAATCTACCACAGGATCAGCACACTCCTACTTTCTCTCACTCTTACAAGTCTACATCCCCTCCAGAAGCCTGAGTTTGGTGAGTGAGCGACGTCTCATGGTACCATCACAGAGAAGCACAAAATCACTTTCCAGAACCTTCTCATTCACCATTCCTCGCTGGTGGAATGATCTTCCCGCCCTCACCCGGAACTCTGAAACTCTTATTCAAGAGACAGCTGAAAACTCATCTATTCCATGAGCACTTAACTGTATCCTACTTAAAAGAAGAAAAAAAGCATTCATTTTTCCTTAATACCTCCCTGTTCTAGCTTCTATAACTCTAAATCAGGGATGGCAACTGGACCATATTATACTAGGATTATCAGTGTTAAAGCATTTGAAATGTTGGTCATGAAAGACCACTTTCAGATAATGATGTTAATACTAACTCCAACCAGGAGAGGTCACTAGTTCCCAGCCAATCCCCGTATTACAGTGTAGTATGTGCACATAAATGTCAAAGTTTACTAAATTAACATTCAGGGCTTGACATTAACACTCGCCTACCTGCCAAATGCAGGTAGATTTTAGCTGTGGCAGGTAAGACAGCCACTCCCACTATCCACTTTGGCGGGTTGAATATAATTTCAGCCATATTAATAGCCAAACTCGTCGTAGAACAAAATTACAATCCAATCACAATTCGTTATCGATTAGCTTGCAGTTAGTGAAGGCAGGATTATAGGCGGAATCGCGCTAAATGACACCTAACAGAAGTGCTCTCTCGCGTGCGCGCTCTCTCTCTGTCGCGCGCTCCATCAGTCCTTGCGCCTGAACTGGAGTATCTCGCATGAATACAGTCGGTTATGGCTTAAGTGGATGTAAACAGGCGGGTAAAAACTGGATATGTGTCAGTATTCAGCAGCCCAATTAAATACCTGTCTGTTATTAATGTTAATCAAACAACAAAAGATGTTAAATAAATGTATACATTTTAAATAAACCTGCTGTACCAGGAAAAAACAGATTATTTAATTTGTATTGCTATTGTATTTGTAATTTGATAATTTGCTTCTTTGTTCTTTTTATATGGCCTAACAAAAATAACTTATAAAATGATGAAATTTCTCATATTATGGTCATATTGCCCAACCCTTCTCCACCCATATACACCAGCTGATATACCATGTAGTCTGGATGTGGGTGGTCAATCTGCATTTGAATGTTTGAAAGGGTTTAAATCCAGCTAAATCAAGTAAAACTACTGAAAATCAAGTAATTTTAGCATGCCAAAGTCAACTTTAATCATATAAAATGTAATTTCCAACAGCACAATTATGGCCAGTAACTTTGGAAAACCACTACACAGCAAATATCCAGTGTTTGTTTAGTG